TTTCATGTCTATAACCTACAAATAAAGTTTTGTTTTCTAAGGTATTTTCAATAGTGCAATGAGTTTTTTCAAAAATAACTCTATAACCTTTATCACATAATTGACTAATGTTAAGCAAGTTATGTTTTAAACCTTCAACAAATAAAACATTTTCAATAATAGGAGGGATTTTTACCAATACTTCCTACACCAATGATTTTACCCTTGCTATTGTCGTCAAAAGTCACATATCCGCCATCCTTTGGTTGGAGTGTGGTGAACATAGCTTTATTTCCAGTCATGTGCCTCGAACATGCACTGTCGAGATATCATCTATCGTTACTGGATTTTGTCCTGAAAGATACCTACAAAAATTTGATTTTTCTATTGGTACCCATTTTTTCTTGGGTCCATAAAAGTTAGAATTTGATACTCTTAAACTGTCCTGAGGAACCCACATCTTTTTTATTTTAGCAAAAGGATTTCTTTCAACAAGACATGAAGGTGAAATATGACCTTTTGTACCACAAAAATGACATGTGAGATGAGAGTGATTAGAAGATGCATACATAAAGCCATTTTTGACAGTTTTTACTTTTGAAAAAGGTTTATATCCAATTCCGGCCCTACCAAAAGTACGATTTTGATTTTTAAGAATTTTATCTAAAGTTTCTCTGCCTTGAGTGAATTTTGAAAGAGTATTTTTCAAGTCTTCAATATTTTCTTTCAAAATAATTTGCTCATTTTTTAAAGACTCATTTTCTTTTTGCAATACAACTAAATGTTTTTCAAAAATTGAAGACTCTTTTCGAGTTAAAATCTCATTTTCCTTTTTCATTTTCATGACTTCATTTTCTAGAACATTTATCTTGGAAGTCAATGATTCATTTTCTTTTGATAAACTTGAAATTACTTTCTTTTGACAATTACTTTTCAAACTAAGTTTCTTAAATTCAGCATGTAATTCATCAATAGCTAATTGTAATTCATCAAATGTAAAGGATTCGTCATTTACCTCATTTTTATTTCCAATTGCTATTAAGCATAGGCTAGCAACCTCATTTTTGCAAACTTCGGTTTCTGTGTCGTTTTCATCACTATCTTCTCCCCATGATGCAATCTTAGCTTTCTTCTTATCCTTCTTGAATTTTTTTTTAAGTTCTGGACATTTTTGATTTGTAATGTCCAGGTTGTTGCATTCGTAGAAGGTTACTTCAGATTTTTTATGATTTTCTTCTCTTTGAAAATCCCTATTGTTGAAGTCTTTTTTGAAAAAATTTCATACGCCTTGTTTCTTTCTCACAAACCTTTAGAACTTTCTAGTGATGAATGCCATTTCCTCATCCTCATCTGAATCATCTTCTTTATCCTCTTGATATTTCAAGGTAGATTTGAAGGCTATTCCTTTCTTCTTCTTGTTGTCCTCCTCTTCCTTTCCTTCTTGCATTATGAGCTCATGAGTAAAGAGAGATCCCATTAACTCATCTAGACTTAGTTTTGATAAATCCTTGGCCTCGGTAATGGCAATGACTTTTGTCTCCCAACTTTTTAGCAATGACCTAAGCACTTTTCTTACAATTTCAGCATTAGTATATATTTTTCCAAGAGAAGTTAAACCATTAATAATATCAGTAAAACGAGTAAACATTTGAGGAATAGTTTCATCAGGCTTCATTTTAAAAAGTTCATAATTATGGACTAGCAAACTGACTCTAGATTCTTTAACTTGTTCGGTTCCCTCATGAGTCACTATAAGCTTGTCCCAAATTTCTTTAGCGGTTTTACATGTGGAAATTCTATTGAACTCGTTGGCATCTAAAGCACAGTACAACATGTTTGTAGCTTTGACATTAATTTGGGCCATTCTAGTATCTGATTCATCCCACTCATCTTCAGGTTTTGGTACCCTAAGTCCATCTACGGTTTTGGTAGGAATTTTTGGACCATTGCAAATAATTTTTCAGCATGCATAATCATTAGATTGAACATGTATGGTCATCCTAGTTTTCTAATAACTAAAATTTGTACCGCTAAATAGTGGTGGCCTATTGGATGCTTGTCCCTCGGGTAAAGAATAACTAGGGGTTGCCATGATCTACTCTAAGACGGTTAGTCACACAAACTAGAGTTTAGGCTCTGATACCAATTGTTATCCCAGATAGGCAACCCAAGAGGGGTGAATTGGGTTATTAAAAATTTCACAATATTAAAAATAACACAATATTCAAAATTTTAATAAATAAAAAAAACAGAATAATAATTATCAATATAAAAGTATGAGAGATAGAGAGAGAAAATCAAACACTGCGATTTATAGTGGTTCGGCACGCCAGGCCTACGTTCACTCCCCAAGGAACCTCCTTGAGAATTTCTTTACTATCAATTGAATAAATACACCACCAAGCTTATGGATTTGGCACAGGACTTACTCTTATCTATTGAGCCTCACTCAACAATAAATGCCTTACCCTTACAAAATTTCTCACAAAAATAAGGAATAAGAATAAGTGGTACTTGAACCCACTTTTACAATAATTCTCTCACAAAGAGTAGATATGAAAGTGTAAGAACAAAAGCTAGACTTAGATCTGAAAGTGAAAGAACATAATACAATTTGGAGCTCACAGAAAATTTTCTCTTCAAGTTCTTGATTTTTCTCCACACACAACACTTCTATTTATACACAAAAATATACCTGTTGGATGCTCCTTGCTGACGTCATGGATGACATCTATTTGTTTCAACTTTTCATCATGAGGCATCCTTTGTTTCAACTTTTCATCATGAGGCATCTTTTCTTTTTGTCAAACATAGTGGCCGAATTTGAACAAAACTCACAAACATGTGGGTTTTGATTAATATATATATATATGAAAAAAATCCTGCAAAGTCCACATTATAAAGATAAAACTTTAACATTTAAATTCAAACTTCAACATGTGAATTAAAATTCAATATACTACAATTTTGCAACCATTTCTTTGTGTATTATATCATGTATGATTTTTCACATGCTAATAATTAATGTTTCCACACACTAATATATATGATACAATCAATGTTGTGTAAAAAAAATATAATTGCTCCGTGATGTATACTATTTGTATTATATGCATTATTATATGTAGCCTACGACCACTAAGAGATGATCTACGAGACCTCTCCCTCCCTTCGGGAAGAGAAAATAGAGAAAGCAGTGCCTGGTTCACAAACCGAGGCAAAGCATGAAAGAGTTCGGAAGTCCGAAGGCAAGGCTCGCAGCCGAGACTCTGAAACCTCTGAATGAGCACGATATGCAACATCACCAAGCGCTCAATCGTTGACGTCTGAGTCTTAAGACAACCTATCAATATCAAATTTGTCAAAATAATACAACCAATCCATCATTTTTGTCAAAATAATATAATTAATCAATTTTTAATTTGGTCAAAAAGTGAATAGTGATTAGCCTCAATTTTCAAAAAGTGAATAGTAAAGTTTTCAAAAATATTTTTATTTAACTAATATTTAACAAATATATATATTTTAAAAAGATAATATTTTATGTCAAATAAATATGTACATTAAAAAAAATTCAAATTGTTACAAATAATATTTTAGACATCATCAAAGTAAATAATACAAATAATATTTTAGACATCATCAAAATTAAATAATATGATTAACAGAATTTGGTCTTGGTCTTTTTTGGATAGGCTATGCCAAACCTTGTTTGTTTTGCGGCAAGAAATGGCGAGTGGCTTCTTTTGGATTGATTCTTCCTTGAAATCATCATCACTTTCCAATACTTGAAGTTGTGTCTTCTCTTGATTGGCATGCTCTTTTAGGTTGGTTTCAGTAGCAACTGCTTTCTCTTGGCCAATATCTTCTTGCATCTTTTCTTTCTGTTGTTGTTTTGCTTCATGAGCACCCTCTTTTTGCTCGGGTTCAGTAGCAGGTTCTGTCTCTGTTTTGATTTCTTCTTTTTTCTTTTCATTCTTCTTTTCTTTTTCTTCATCGGTACCCTCTGTTGGTTTGGGTACATCAGCAGCAGTTTGTGTCTTGTTCCTTGTATCTTCTTTGGCTTTTGTCATTGGTTGGTATTCAAAATCTGGGTCGTGTGCTTGTTTTCTTGACTTTTGTTTGATTCTCTTGACCATTGATCTTTGTTGGGGACTGCTAGTTTTTTTGGTGGACATTTCCTTCAATTGATCTACTTTTTTACGCAATTCAGCCATGAATTTTTGTTCCATATCTTGCATTTGTGCGCTCATGGCTGATATGAGCTTGTCATTGTCGTCCTCTTTGGTTGGTGTTTGTGGTTGGTCATGACTTATAAAAATGTTAGATTGTGTTTTGGTTAGTTTAATTAAATTTTACAGTTTGCTTTAGTATTAGAAAATAGTTTACCTTGTACATGAAATATGTCAGATTTCTCTTGGAGTTCTTCTTGTTGGTTTGTCAGTTCTTGTTCATTGACTTGTTGTTGTTGGTTTGTTTATTGTTCTTCTTGTTCTTGTTGTTGGTCTTCTTCTTCATCAGTGTCTTCAGGTTGATCACCTTTTGCTTCATGTCTTTCTTCTGTTTCATCATTGTCTTGTTGTTGATCAGGTTCTTCTTCAGTTTCTTCTTCATCAGTCACTTGTTTTTTTTCTTCGTCACTCTCTTCTTCTTGTTCATCAGTTTTTGGTTCTTCTTGTGGTTTTTGCTTCTTTTTTTTTTGTTCTTCTTGTTCTGATTCTGATTCTGATTCTGATTGATATTCTTCTTTGAGAAAGTCATCCTCATCACTGTTTAGAAGTCTTTTTTTTGTTGCTTTTGTTTTCTTTTTTCGCTTATTGTCCTTTTTGTGGTCATGTTTCTTTGCTGAAGAGTCTGTCGATGTGATTTGATTGATATGCAAGAACTGTATTTCTTGTTCAGTTGGGGTTAAAGCACTTTGGTTAACCTACATTGGAACAATGTGGCATATATGAGTAATACTATAAAATTGGTCAGTTTCATAGGATGAGTTGTACTGTGAGTAATGTGGGTTAATTGTCGAAATATGTTGCTTGAAACTGAAAAATTTTACAGTTTCATAATATGAGTGATGTGAAATAGATTTGGCGTTTAAACTGTAAACTTTTGCAGTTTCATAACATGAGTGGTGTTAAATAAGTGTGTGCTTTAAAACTGCAAACTTTTACTGTTTCATAATATGATTTGTACTGTGAATAATGTGAGTCAAGTTTTGAACATATGTTGTTTGAAACTGAAGAATTTGACAGTTTCATAACATGATTTTTACTATAATGACTGTGAAATGAGTATTGAATAGATTTGTGCTATGATAGTATAGAAGAGTTTGGATACATTTTCAAAGTGAGCAAGGCTAATGTGTTTCCACTTGGAGTACATTTTGTCAAGGTTCCATTTCATAAACCTTGGGAAGCCTTCTTTGTTGGATGGTCAGAGGAGTTTACTGTGCTCACAGTACCAGTACTGTAAAAAAAAAAAATTTGAAATATGTTAGATAGTTAGAAATAGGTGGATGTCTGATATTTTTGTGTGAAGTAATTGAGTAATGTGTTTACCAAGAGTAACATGGCGCATCCAGTGACATGCCTTAGGTTGTTGTTTGCATTTGCCATTGAATTCATCAGTGTGTCTTTCATTGCCTCAACCCAATTGTACTTCTTGATGTTGTTGAGATTGTCAACGTAGTTAAGGAAACTCTAACTGAGTGTATGGCCTGTTGTAGGCATGAGAAGTTTCAAGCACAAGTAAAGGGTGATGACCCTTGCAAGATCTTGACGATCATTGGTTGATTTTCCTTTTTTTGTTTGTTGAAACATTTTGGTCAAAGACTTGCCATCCAATCTCTTTACGGATTTGCATCTTCGTTTGTAAAATGGAAGCTCAAAATCCTTTGGTCTTGAATAGGATTTGGTGGTGATGCTGTCTTCTCCACAATCGATACCAAAAATGAACTTGACATCACTGTTTCTGAGTTTCATTTCCTTTTTGCCAAGTATAAATGCTCTTTTTCTTTTGTTGTAGAGTGTTGTCATTTCTGCTACAATTCCATTGTAGCATCTGCACCAAAAGGCCTTCAGTTGTGCTGAGGAGAGAGCATTTATAATGGGTCAAAAAGGGGTTTTTTCCAGCTCTGTCTGTTGGGCTTTTGTGAATTTGACCCCCTTCAACAGTTTGATTACTGTTCCGATGTTGGAACAGTAATTAAATTGTTGGACTCTCTTTGCAGGGGCTGCTGCTTTTTTCCCTTTTGATGCCTTGGCTTTCTTGGAGCTTTCTTTGAGCTTTCTTTTTTTAGTTGGAGGAGCTTCTTATTTTTTTGTTGGCTTTCTTTTGTTTGTTTTTGTTGTGGTTGGAGGTGTGGTTGGTGTTTGTTGTGTGGGTGGGGTCTGTGGTGTAGTTCTTGGGCTTTTTCTTGTAGGTAGTGTGGTTGTTTTGTGGGTTTTTTGGTGGGGTCTGTGGTGTTTGGTTGTTTTTGGTTGTGGTGGTTGGGTTTTTTGTGGAGGGGGAGATATTGGTGGCATTTCAGTGGGTACAGGAGACGGACTTTCAAAAGGGGAGATACTTAAATCCCTGATTGGATTTTTGGGCATATGGGTTTGTTTCTTCCAATATCTTCTAACAGTTATTTCTGAAAAAATGAAAGTGACAGCAGGGTATGAGTAATATAGTGACAAAACTGTATAATTTTGAAGTTTTATATGCAGTTTAATATGAAGTTATATGTATTTGTTGGTAACAGTTACGAAACTATATAATTTGACAGTTTGATTTGCACTTTATAATAAGTTACCTATTTGTTTTGAGTAGTGATTAAACTGTGTAATTTTGCAGTTTCATTTGCAGTTTGAATAAATTTAGATATGTTACTTGTAGAGTGATGAAATGAAACTGTATGATGTTGCAGTTTTTGTAAACAGTATCAACAATAGGAACAGCCCATTGTATTTTGTAAACAGCAACAATAACAACGAGAAGATTAAGTATTCAAAAATAACAACAATAAGAAAAGGCAATATTGAACAACGAGAATAAGAATAAGGTGTTGAATGTGTAAAAACAGTGGATTAGAATGTTTAAAAACAGGGGACTAGAATGTTGTAAAACAGGGAATTATATATGAAAGAGGGTTTATACATTTTGAAGTATGTAAAATGTATATATACGAAATATGAAAGAATAATGTACAAATTTAAATGAAAAATAATGAATAGGTGAAGAGAGATGCTACTTTTTTTCCCCATTTCTGTGAATCGGAAGTATGGAGTCGAACGGAGGAGAGATGGAGGAGTGAGAATGCGATTTCGAGCGGCGGAGATATAACAGTGTACTGATCAAACTGAGATGATCATGGGTGATGAAGATGAACGGTTTCGTTTTGTGGTTAGGGTAGGGTTTCAGAGGGAATGGAGTCAAACGGAGGAGAGATGGAGGAGTGAGAATGCGATTTCGAGCGGCGGAGATATAACAGTGTACTGATCAAACTGAGATGATCATGGGTGATGAAGATGAACGGTTTCGTTTTGTGGTTAGGGTGGGGTTTCAGAGGGAATGGAGTCGAACGGAGGAGAGATGGAGGACTGAGAATTCGATTTCAAGCGGCAGAGATGTGACAGCGTACTGATCAGACTGAGATGATCGTGGGTGATGGTTGAGCGCGTGTAAATTGGATGATATATTGTGGGTATTTTCGTCTTATTGATAATTTGAGGACTTAATGGAGTATTAAATTTATTTTGGGCCTAAATGGGGTATGATATGTTGGGCTTGGACCTTTGGGTCAGTTTCTCATAATATTTGGCCTATCCCAAAAATGAACCCACTTAAATTGGTATATTTTATTTATGAAAAAAATTATAGTACACGCTTATATCTATAAAAGAAAGGGTAAATTATTTATAATTCCTATTAGGGAGATTTATGTAATGTAAAGTCCTGTATAATTTTTTATAGAGTTTCAACTCCTATTTAGATTAGAAAGTGTTCCACAAGTTCCTATAAATTGTGATTAAATGGAATTATTGTACTATTATACCCTTTATATATGTTTTCATATTATAAGTTATTCACCGTATTAAGGTTTGGAGACTTTTAGGAAACTTTATTGTGTAGGCTTCGTCTAGTGCCGTGAATTGCGCCACAATCATAGAGGGTGGTGGATTTTGAAAATGTTATTGGTTTGGATGGTTTTGTTGTTTGATCTTGCCGATCTGGACTCAAAGTGTTTGAGGGAAGGAGATAAAGTTATCTGCTTCTTCAATTGGTGAGTGTTGCTGTGTGTTTGCCGATTGTTTTGTTTTCAATGTCATCTTATATGATATGGATTTCGTAATCTGGTATAGCCATCCGTTGGCACACTTTCATTAGCCTCCATTGAAGTTACATTTAGGTTGTAATGGTAATCACGTATCTACAATGTTGTTATGTCTTCTGTGTGTTACGTTCAGTTGTATTTGTCATTGAACTTGTGTGGTAATGTTATTGTATTGTAATGTTTACATAAGTGTTACATTACGTTTCGTAAAAGTATATTACGTTCACTTATTAAGTTTTATTTGAATGTGACAATGTTGTTGGGTTGTACGAAATGGTACAGCCATACATTGGCACACTTCCATTAGCCTTGAAGGACGTTACATTTAGGCTGTAATGTTAAACCACATCTGCGATGTTGTCATTTTTTGGTCTGTGTTACGTTCATTTGTATTTAATTTGTTTTGTGCAATTGTTGTACTTATTGTGGACATATGTGTCACATTGCGTTTCGCAAACTTATTGGGTTTCTATTTTTTCCATTTGAATGTCACAATGTTGCTTATTCGTGGAAAGTATTAGAATGTATGTGAATGTAACTCGCATACACATGGATATGACCATGGTTTTGGTATTATTTATTTTGTGTTGTTCCATTGTTGTATTTACTGTGGATATATGTGTCACGTTACGTTTCGCAAATTGATTGGGTTTCTAATTTTTCCAATTGAATGTGACAATGCGTTTGGTTCATGGAAAATATTGGAATATATGTGAATGTTACTGTTACTTTTCATTATATATTATTTAATTTGGATTTTTATTATTTAGCTATAAAATTTCTTATGATTGATTGTGATTGAATGTGGGTTGAACCCCGTTGTACGATGTCGACGTTACTACGCTCACATTTGATTATATATCACATATCTTCCATGCCTTGTTTTTTTTTTTTTTTGATAAATGTAGTGACACGGTTAATGTTTCATTT